AGTGAAATGTAAATTTCTTTAGATGGCCAAAAAAAAATTAGAATTTAAAAATTTTCAAAACTTCACGGAATGACTTATAATACCTGTGGCCACCCACTTTTAGTTATATTTAATTTTTTTAACGTGCCCTAAAAATTATTAAAATAAATAAGGACAAAAATTTTGGAAACTTTACTTAATAGCTTAGACTACCTGTGGCCACCCAATTTTAGTATAGACAAATTTTTTTATTTCACGAAAAAAATTTATATTAAAAAATAATAATTTAAAAATGCTTAAAATTTTAAAATTTCAAAACTTTACAAAATATCTTAGAATATCGGTGGCCACTAACTTTTAGTGAAATTTTTTTTTAGGGCCCAAAATTTTTTTTTGAAATAATAATAATTTTTTTCTTACAAAACTGTATAGAATGACTTAGAATACCTGTGGTCACCCACTTTCAGTGAAATTTAAATTTTTGTACGTTGTCAAAAAAAATTTAATCAAAATGAATGCGATTCATATAGTGATGTTTAATACCTGTAGCCACCCAAATCGTGCTCATACATTGATGTTTCATATCAAAATGAATGGGATTCATAGTATATTTGTTTGTAGGAAATTGCACGTCATAAACACTCGACATTGGCTCATTTCAAGAAAACATTTTCTCAGTCTTTCCATCAAAATGATAAGCTTCGTCATATACATCATTATGTGTTCGTAATACGTGTCAATAGTTCTTTACATATTCGCATAACCTTCCTACTTGTCAGTATAAACGTGGAGGTCACATGCCTAGAAGACAAGGCTCTTCCTCGTCCTCGTCCCCGTCCCTTTCCTCTTCGCCTGTCCCGGCATCTAACCCTCAACCACAGTATGGTCCGTCACAATATGGACACGTTGGCCCTTCCTCCAACACTCAACAACATGTTACGGGACTTGGCCACATGCGAACTGAACGTTCTCCAGTTCAATCTCCTTTAGCTCCCTCTCCTTCCGTTCCACCCCATTATTCGGCGGAACAATCGAATATTGACGGAAACAGAGGTCAAGAAGATAATCGATTCTTCATATGCCCATTTGGAGATTCGTAAGTACTTCATTTTTATTTTAGTATATGTAATATTTAGGGCTTTAGATATTGATGTCAATTGAATTGTCCATATTGCACAATATTCATATGAATGCAGATTCACGAATGCTCCGTCTGTTGTGAGGGAATTGAACAAAATAGTAAGAAACTTTTGGATGGGAGAGTATATTACTTACAGAAATGCTCCACAAGAAGTGAAAGAAATGTGGTGGAATGAGTTCAAGGTAAGTTTTACATATTTTATTTTCTCACCAATTAAGTGTGGTGTAGTATATTGATGGTCAAGAATGATGTAAAGAGACCATAACAACTCTGTAGTTTTCGATACCTAAAGGATCAGATATTTTCCCCGACATGAACTTTACAAAATCTGTCTATATTTGTCTGGTGCATGGTTATGGATATGTAATCATCATAATAATTTTCAATTTGTGTTTTTATTCATTGCAGCGGAAGTTCAAGTGGGAGGAAGCGGAAGACAATGAAGTGAGAAGAATTTTCGATAAGAAAATAAGTGATTTTATGCGAAATGTCATGAATAGAGCGAAGAGCAAGCAAGCGAAGCCGTCTTTCTTTACAGCTGACAATTAGGAGGCAATTAACACATTTTGGGCATCTGAACAGAATCGGCAACTCTGTGAGCAGAATAAAAAGAATCGATCTTCTAGTTCTAGTGATGGGTCAGCCACATATGCTGGGGACTCTATCAACATTGCGGAGCATCGCAAACGACTGGTAAGTCTGTTAAATGAGTTATAAGTTAATTTAATTCAATTACTCATGTTTACATTTTGTAGGCACATGAATTAGGGACGGAACCGACATTTGCAGCTACATTTGAACGCACATTTCAAAAGAAAGATAAGATATGAACTGGCGATCGAGCAAAAGCTGTTAAGGTATGTAAGGTTATACTTTGGCTTATATTAAACTATAATGAAAACCGTGAATGCTTTCAATATTTTTGGTAGATATATATATAGTGATTTTATTTTCATCTACATTGTTAATGTAGGAAAAATATGATGAACTTTTAATGAGCAGTGCTAGTGGTAGTGATGATTGTCCTGAGTCCCGGCCACCAGTTGATAATATGGCATTATAGATGGAGGCAATGGGTGGGGCGAAAAAAGGGAAAATATTTGGGATGGGATCATTATCAAGGATGTACATGCTGAATAGTCCTGGAAGTTCATCATCCACTGGGACTGGTCGAAGGAGGTCACGAGCAGACGAGCAATTGACCCAAGAAGTGAATCGTCTGAATAATTTACTTGTTAAGAAGGATGAACGAATACATAACTTGGAACAACAAATGAGAATCGTTATGCAACACCTTAACATCAATCGCTATGACGATCCTCCTGTACCTCCAGCCAATCCAGTAGGTGATGGGTACAATGATGACCAACACATTGATGCCGAGAATGCTGCTGATGATGATGATGATGAAGATTTTCTCCGGTCTTTCCAGTTAAAATTCTCAAAATCAGGGGTAAGCTTGCTTCATAATCTTGGTTTTTCATAATTTCACTCATATTCATATGTAAGAACATTTATGTTCATCCCGAAACGTATTTTTGTTAACCCTTTTGTTATTTTACACCTAGTTCCACATCCATGCATAAACGCTTTTTTTATATTCTAGACTGATTTATGTATCGACATTTCCTCAGGTCTCGACAAAAGTGACTACTTTTGGTGTCCTGCCATCGTACCAAAGCCGCGTCTTCTTCTGTATGGTTTTTTTGCGTCTTCTATGGTTGTCCCGTCTCTTAGTTCATGTTTTGACTGTATTGTAAGATTGGATATCAAATAGTATCATGTCAAACTCTACAACTTTTCCTTCTGTTATTTGTTTCAATTATATGTCATTGTGGCTGGTTTGTCAGAATTTATGGTTTGTTCGTTTTTCTGTTTCAATTATATATCATTGTCTCCTTTGATTGATATGGACAAGAATTTATGGCCGAAATGATATAAAAATAGCGACGAATATTTTAAGCCGAATTTTGCTATCATTAAAGTTTGTCACTAATTTGCGACGAAATTCGCGACGAATTTTCTGACGAAATTCGCGACAAATTTTACGATGATTTTGCGACGAAAATTGCGACGAAATTGCGATGAATTTTGCGACGGACAGAGTCGTCGCAAATTTGCGACGAAATTGCGACGGATTTTTGCGACGAATTTTGCGACGGACAAAGTTCGTCGCAAATTTGCGACGGATTTTTGCGACGAATTTTGCGACGGATTTTTGCGACGAATTTTGCGACGGATTGAGTTCGTCGCAAATTTGCGACGAATTTTGCGACGGATTGAGTTCGTCGCAAATTTGCGACGAAATTTGCGACGAATTTGCGACGGATTTTTGCGACGAATTGAGTTCGTCGCAAATTTGCGACGAAATTTGCGACGGATTTTTGCGACGGACAAACGTTCGTGGCAAATTTGCGACGAAATTTGCGACGAAATTGCGACGGATTTTGCGATGGATTTTGCGACGAATTTGCGACTGATTGAGTTCGTCGCTAATTTGCGACGAAATTTGCGACGAATTTGCGACGAATTTTGCGACGGACTTATTTCCGTCGCAAATTTGCGACGGAATATTTGCGACGAATTTTGCGACGGACTATGTGCCGTCGCAAATTTGCGACGAACTTGTGAATTTTCCGTCGCAAAATTTTGAGACGACCTAGTAGCGACGGAATTTTTTCCGTCGCAAAATCCGTCGCAAATTCGATTTGCGACGGATTTTTCCACGTTTTCCGTCGCAAATTTCGTCGCTAATCTGGTGTTTTTTTGTAGTGTTCTTCTTCTTGCAACGACAGCCTTTAGTCCGGTAACTCTCCTTTTAGCCACACTTCTTTTCAGATTACATTCACAAGGGTGCAGTTGATACTCCAACCTGCACAATAGAACGGAAATCAGCTCACAGCTTCTTTGGTACATGCACAGAGATTTTGGTGGCTTGTAGTGTACATAGAATAGCTTTTGACGCATTTGTCTGCTTAAAATGATTTACCCACTATAACCAGTTGGGCATTGTCGAAGTGGAAGAGAGAGGAAGAGAGGAGGAGATGAAAAGAAAACCGCACTTTACTCATTCACCTCACCTGGACATGGACGAGGGCATGGACAGTGGAAAGTGGCTTGCTGGGTTCTTGATAGATTTGGGCGTCGTCAAGTGTTCACGTTGCCGTGGAAGAATGATAATCTTTTTTTGACGATTTGACTTGTCCATATTTGGTGCTTTGTCAAAGATACGAAGTTCTCTCGACAAGAACTTAATCTTATTTCTGAAAAGTTAAAAGTGATTACAAACTGTGGAATATGTAAGCACAAAACAAGATTACAATTTGACTTTGACGTAATATGCGCTCTGGCTTATTGACCTTGAATGATTAAACGTGCTATCTCTGCATGGCTTCATACTGTGACCCAAGATCTAATAGCGGGGGTCTTTTGACCATTATACAAGCATGATACAACAAATTACGTACCGAAGACAATTGCCTTAATCATGCGAAAGAAAGAACTTATCCAAGAAGAGAAGGCGAAGAGCGTGGACGGCTCCGTTTGACGCGGAGCAAAACCCGACATGGATCAAGAACGGATATAGTGCGAACCCATTAGAACTCGTATCTAGTTCGGCTTTGCTGCTCTGTAAGTACAGTAGAAGACTATTAAATAACCATAAAACATGTTTTGTTTTGTTTGTTTTTTTTTAAATTTCAATGTATTATACAAATGAAATTAAAAAAAAAATAGAGAGAGAGAGACTGGTGGGGGTCCCATCCATCACCGTTTTTTTTTTTTTTTTTGGTTAAATCCCATCCATCACCGTTAATCTCTACGCCAAGCCAAGCCAACCCCCATTAGACGGACAGAATCTTCCTTTGCCATTGCTTGGCTTCTTCATTCGAGATATCACACTCGATCAATCCGTTCTGGAGAAGCGACGTTGCCCCCCCATTAGAGCAGCTGCCGACGGCGGAGGAGGAGGAGGAGGAGGAGGAGGAGCGATGGGGTGGTGGAGGTGCGGCGTGAAGAGCCTGAGGTACTCGACCATGGTGCTGGGCTCGTCCAACGCGGCGGTGGTGGCCCTGGGCGGGTGTCTCCTCCTCCTCTCTCTCCCCTCATGCGGCCTCGCCGGACGCTCCCTTTCGCCGCTGTCGCCTTGGCCGCGGCCGTCCGGATCGTCGCCAATACGGGGATCGCCCAGCAAGCCACGGCCACGACCGTCCTCGAGTCTTCCGAGAGCCCGGTCGTCGATGCCGTTATCCGCCATCAGAGACAGGTATTCCTTCGTTCCTTCCTCTCGTTTTTGAGCGAATCGAATTTCAGCTTCATTTTGCTCGGAAACTCCTTTCTCGTTTACCTCGTGGGGGTTGATATCCTTCTTTAGTGGAGAGATATCTAGGGATGATTCATTGCGACAGATGACTCGTGCTGACTTGGTTTTGGAGGTCTTCCCCGGTCTCCATTTAATGATATAGATTGAATTTCAAGGAATGCTGTTAAAATCTGTTATTGCTTGCTTGAATCTCATGGACTTTCTTCCAGGAGCCTCTGTTGTAGAGCGAGGAAAATGAAAGCTTGATTTTACACGAGTGTGCTGGACCCTGTTAGAAAGCAAGGGCCACTCTACTCTCATCTTCAGTAGAGATGCTAGATAAATTTGATAAATTTTAAGACTTTAGGTCCAGATGTTCTTGCAGATTTCTTCCGACCGTCTTAGTTGCGTATATCCGGATCTCCATTTTGAAGACAGATTTATCTGAAGACATCTAATATGACCCATTTCATGAATGTCTGACTTTGTGCCTTTCACAATTCAAGTTAGAACCCACCACCTGTTTTGCCTTCAAGTTTGGACATGCCAATCTTGATGAAAAAATTAAAGTACGCTATATTTTTCCATTTTTCACATTATCCAGCCAGCTTGACAAAGATTTTAAGCAGCCTGCATACTTGAAGAGATCAACTTCACCTCACTGTGGGCACATTCCATATGATTCTGAATCATTCCTTTCTTTTCTGCATGGACAGACGAGGTATAAAAAATGGATTTGGTGGACCCGATTTGTGACGGTTGTCATGATGGTGCAATTTGTGGGTGCAACTTATCTTGTGCTCAAGATATCTAAGTCTGTTTCCCACAATGAAACAACGAGTGACTGCTTCTTAGGTGAGGGAATATCTTGCACCAATCTTCGACGATTAAGCCTTCTGTTTTCCCAATTCGATTGTTTGAAGTGTCTTTGAGTGCCGTTGCTCACTAGTTGACGAAACATTGTTCAGTTGAAGATATAATGTTTCTTTCCTTTGTTTCACCTCTTTGCATTAGTTTTTATCCATGAATCAACTTGTGCAGTTTAATCGCGTATTTCTTTTTGCTATTATGATCATGAGAAAAAAGAGGTAAAATCTAAATGGAATCATTCTGTTTGATTCTTGATTGAAGCATGACTTAGAAAGGGTATCTTGGGCATTGTTTTCTTTGTGTTCATCTGACTATTTTCTACTAAAAGTTATTTGAAGATTTCTGCTTTGCATATCCACAAATCTTTGCTCAAACCCTAAGGCTATTGACATGTAGGGATTGTCTCCAAAGGAAGCATGTGGAAGTGGAATTGCTGGCTTTATTCATTGTCATGGTGTGTTTTGTTGCGCTACTTCAGTGTTTTACGGGCTCTGATGTTCTAAGGTGGAGATCATTTTATGCAACTGAGGACAATGCATGGAAGGCCCACTATAGGGAGGTATTTGATCATGGCATGCGTGAGGCATTATGCTGTCTTGGACGTGTAAAATACCTGTAGGCTTTTCTCCAACTTATTTGCCATTCCCCTAATTTACGTCATGATTGGTTTTCTAATTCCACTACGCTTGTCTCTCCAGGAGTGTTATGGATGAAGATGAAGTTTATTCAGTAGCACGAGTACATGGGGATCTTGTTGCCTATCGTGCATCAGGCACTGGCCACTTGGAACTTTTGGCAGGTTTGCAGATTAGTTTGTACAAATTTCTTGGTCAATCGAGCAAAAGAGAGAATGCTGATGTTCATTAAAAAGTTGAGTTGCATTTGTCTCTTCTTTTTCGTGTGATGTCAAAACTGTTGGTTTTCTGGAGCTCTGATTCTTTGCAATTTAAATTATGTGCTTTGGTGCCGATTCTGGAACATATATGGTGTGATGTGCTTCTAGAATACTTACGTTAGGAAATTTGCTCCCCCATCCTTGGCCATTGCCAATAGAGCTGAAAGCTTAAACCATATGATGCCCCCAGTTTCATCTCATGACGATAGTAGTCCAAGCAACAGAGCAAAGTGCAGAAGTAGCATAAGAGGGAGCTGGCACAATCAGATGGAGAATGAAGATGACCTTAATTTTGTGATTAGTTCTTCTAATATTGTAAAAAATAACTCTTTTTTAATGGTTTAGCTCTTGTCTAGGATTACTTCAAATATGTTGAGGATTTCAAAAGGTCTATATATAGAGAATTTAAGATGACAGGCAACGCTACAGCTGCTTTGGGGCATGCCATTGTGAACTTGCATACTTCTACTTTTTGATAATTATATGTGGGTTCACCCACTGTCCCGACCTGGCTTTCGTCAATTCTGCTTTCTAAGTAATTTAAGAGGTCTTTGGGCATTGCACATTGTAGCTCTTATCAGTAACATTTTTGTACATACAATTATGCTTATTCCACTGGTAGGAGACTTTATCATTTTATTTATGCTGCATTTTCTTTATCTTGTATGGAGAATAAAAGCTGCTTATCATCACCACTCTGCATTTCTGATGGTTATTTCTTTTACATATATTTTTCTGATTGTCATTTCTTTTACAATTTTTCTGATCGTCAGTTCTTTTACATATACTTTTTTTTATTGTTGTTGCATTTCTCTTTTAGTTTACATTTGCATTGTATGAATTATATCATTTTGCATGACAATTTTCAGGCCTAGCTCTGTTTCAGAGGAACAGTTTTTCGTCACAACCTCATGAAGTGCTAATAAATGCACCTAGAGGACAAATCGAGGAGGCTGCCACTCTTCATAAGTTTGCTGAAGCTGCATACACAGTATTTGATCTTCTAGTTTATTGAATCATCTCTCGATGAATATTACTATTTCCACTTCAATTCTAATCATCACACTATGCAGGGTCCTTTGCTCGATTTTGGAAGAAATCCCTTCATCTTTCCATGTGCATGGCTCTACAGGCAGGGGATCTTGACTCCCTGGTCCTGCAACAGGTTCTTATTCCATTTGTCTTTTAATGCCTCAGTATATAGTGCCTCTTACCTCCAAGGCTGATGTCGTCTTGTTTCACCTGTTCTTCATCTTTTTAACTTATGTCTTGCCAGGAGGCCAAAACTTCATGGCGATAATTGGTGGCGTGGTCATGCAGCTGCCTTCTTGAAGTATGCTGGTCTGCCTCCTGATGCACTTCGCCAAGGCCGTGTCTGTCAGGTATGTATTTTTCTGAAAAATGTAATATTCCTCTTCATGGATTCTATATAGTCTACAAGAAGATCAACATGGTATGGGCACAAGTTTTATCCCGGACAAAACACAATGTTTTGGCTGCTTCCACAATTCTCCAGTTAGAGGTGGCTACATTAAGTATGGACATGAAAGCAAGAACAAATAGGAACACCAAAAAAGTGAAGTTAGTTTGACAGGCCTCTGATTTTTTTTCCACCAAAGATGTTCATGAAAACTTCCTTTTGTTATCTACTGCTTTTTATGGACGTGCATTGTCATGTGTTTTGATGTCCAGAGATTACAAGACGTGGTCAAATTATTCGGGCCAAGGATTACAAGATCCAAACTGGTGTCTTCACCCAGATAGCCAGGAACTATGAAACAATCTAACCCAAGAGACTTAGCCTTTGCCTTTTGCTTTGATGGAACCTGAAACATGAGAGTAAAGGCCTAATGCCGAGCCAACTCTATCTATCCATTGTTTCCTACACTTTAAAATTCAGCAAACCAAGTAGTGATCTAGACAACTTTGGCAAGATGCTAGTGAAAAGAAAGAAGCAGATATCCCCATTATTGGAAATTGTACATTTGTGATTGCCTAACTACCATTGAGTGTGTAGATATATGTGACCATATTTTGGTGACGAATTCACTTTATAGTTGACTCTGGGTTGGAGGCGAGTTCAAGTCTGGATTTTCTGTAAAATGCCTGTTGACAGCATTTTGCTTCAGTTATGGCAGATTTGGATGGCAACTGATCCTTGCCTTCTGCCACTTATAGTAGGGTAATGCTATATCTCACTAACTTTGATCAATTGGGATTGGCAAAATTGAGCTGGGTTGCGAGGGTAAAATAATTGGTTTAAACTTCTTAGCTCCTTTGGACTTGTCAGTTCTGCGGCAACAAGGAAGATGTATTTCAATTTGAAATCTGTACTTGATGGGGTTAATAATTTATGGACAATTAGCACCTGCAGGGTATGCCTTAGAGGGAACAGGGTTTCTTATTGTAGCATGCATGGTATTGGAAATTCGCTCGAGTAACATGGTGATCATGTGGATCTGCCATTTTTCCCAGGGAATTGCTTATTTAAAGGAGAATGGAACCTTCTTTTGGAAGGTGGAAAGAATTCTTGTAATTCGTAAGTCAAGTAACTGTCATTGAGCAGTGTAATCTCATTATTACCCGAGACCAAGTTTAGCTACAATTCATGTTAAAGTGGAATCTTCCAATACAATAGTAAGTTTAATTGATAAACATATAGCGACAGGGAAGTTGAGTTTTTTTAAAGGAATTCCCTAATATGTATTTGTTATGAGTTCAAAAGTTATTTCCTGTCCTTTACAATGAATTACAACTATGCTGTTTCATTCATGCAAATGTATTGCAACTTTGATGCCTCATTTGGTTATGATAAAAAATTTCAAGTTCGTAACTAAGGGAAGAAGACCACACAGTTTCCTGTGTTATTTTTACGTCTACCGCAGCATTACTGATTGATCGAGTTATGTCCCCATTTGATAATGAAGAAGTACAATAAGCACAAACTCAAGTCTTATTTGTCAACACCAAGTCTATTATACTTAGTCAGACAGTCAAATTCTGAGGACATGTTCCAATTACGAATTAAAATGCTAGAAAAAGGAACTTGGATAGGTTGCATGATGTTATCATATAGCTGAATTATTCTCTGCAGCATTAAATTTTCTTGCTTCTAAGCCAAGGTCTGCTTTTCTTTATAAAATTTTGGTTTCCACCACCAGCTAAAGTACATAGAGAGGCTCATTACCATGCTTGTGATGGGCATGGGCCAGGCTGGTTCTCCAACCGCCTTTCTCGCCTCGTGGAGAAAATCATGCCACATCACTGTCCCATAGGGCGGGTGACATCTCCCCATCCCCATCTCTGCAGGCATTACTTCACAAGCACAAAGTTGAGTTTCTTTACAAATCAAAGGTGGAGAGAGAGAGAGAGAGAGAGAGCTCAATACCAATTGAAGCAATTCTGAGGAATGCGTATCAAGTGCTAATTAAAACGCGCGAGAACGGAACTTGGATAACAGCAAAGGGGAGAGAGAGAGTGATGCAGACTTAATTTCAGGCATTCTTGTAGAAGCAAGGGAGGGAGAGAGAGAGAGAGAGAGAGAGAGAGAGAGCTCAATACCAATTGAAGCAATTCTGAGGAATGCGTATCAAGTGCTAATTAAAACGCGCGAGAACGGAACTTGGATAACAGCAAAGGGGAGAGAGAGAGTGATGCAGACTTAATTTCAGGCATTCTTGTAGAAGCGAGGGAGGGAGGGAGGGAGGGACTGCTCAATACCAATTGAAGCAATTTTGAGGAATGCGTATCAAGTGCTAATTAAAACGCGCAAGAACGGAACTTGGATAACAGCAAAGGGAGGGAGGGAGAGAGAGAGAGAGAGAGAGAGAGAGTGCTCAATACCAATTGAAGCAATTCTGAGGAATGCGTATCAAGTGCTAATTAAAATGCGCAAGAACGGGACTTGGATAACAGCAAAGGGGAGAAAGAGAGTGATGCAGACTTAATTTCAGGCATTCTTGTAGAAGCGAGGGAGGGAGGGAGGGAGGGAGTGCTCAATACCAATTGAAGCAATTTTGAGGAATGCGTATCAAGTGCTAATTAAAACGCGCAAGAACGGAACTTGGATAACAGCAAAGGGAGGGAGAGAGAGAGAGAGAGAGAGAGAGAGAGAGAGAGAGAGAGAGAGAGAGAGAGAGAGAGAGAGAGAGAGAGAGAGAGAGAGAGTGCTCAATACCAATTGAAGCAATTCTGAGGAATGCGTATCAAGTGCTAATTAAAACGCGCAATAACGGAACTTGGATAACAGCAAAGGGGAGAGAGAGTGATGCAGACTTAATTTCAGGCATTCTTGTAGAAGCGAGGGTGAGGGAGCTACTATTATAGAATTTGCCTGAACACAAGAGAGAGAGAGAGAGAGAGAGAGAGAGAGAGAGAGAGAGAGAGAGAGAGAGAGAGAGAGAGAGAGAGGTGGCTACGAGTGGAGCTGGGCACAGCTTGCCCACGGATTTTACTTGTCCCACAAGGCACAGGGTTGGTTTGGTCGTTCCCTGTGCCCATACCTAGACTGTATTTCCCTCGATGATCTCTGTCATGGTGGTGCCAACTCTAGTCAGGATGTTGGTGGCGGAGGTGTTGCTGGGACAGGAAGGGGTGCAATTGGCCAGCCAATGTTTTTGGTGGACGCAACTGTTCTTTTGCTAGTGTGGTAGTGGCCAAAATTTTGGGCATTGGTTGGTTGACCTCAGTGGGAAGGGGGACCTGACCAACTGTTTAAGTGCTCACTGGTGCCAATGATTATAATGGCCACTCTTGGACTAACAGAGGTGATGGTGGCCAGTGGGCGCACATGGATAAAAGATTAGGGTTTCAGTGACCTACGATGTGGGGAGACACAGGTTGGTAAATAGTTGTGCTTGTGTGACAAGCTTGGCTGGACTTAATGCTGGCAGCATTCGTTCAGTTGTTCTTGTTGAAAGCTGTTTAAGTTAGTTGGCAATGGTGATCAGTTGATAGTTGAGTGGTGCCAAATGCCAGCAGCTAGACGACAGTGGTGTGGAGATGATGACATGGAGGTGAAAGTCGTGGTGGCAGTCACCTGCCAAATGTGGCAGCAACAAATGTCATCTGGCGTTGGACTGACATCAGGCTATTTAACAGCTGAGTTGCTTCCATCCCATTCTCACCCCCAGCAAAGTTTTAAATTTCCATGAGAACATTAACATGAACACTGGCTGCTCCATATATGAGAAGCAGCATATGTTTTTCATATAGTACGATTAACGGAACGGGGTTTGGTTCTGCTAATACTAGTGCAACAAGATCTAAGCCTGTGTTCGATAAGTGTGGCCCATCTGATGGATTCTCATATTCTGTTCTGGCTGTCTGATTGATATTCTCTCAAAGACGAACATATTCAACTTTTAGTTTGTAGTGTGTTTATGCTAGACAAGATAAATGTGCTTAATTAATTGGTCATATGAACTCTAGTCCTTTCGATTCATTACCATCTTAAAGCAACTTTGGCTGCTTGCTCAGCGGGCAATACTTAAATGAACAATTTATGAGCACAAAAAAGGATATGAGTTGCCTTGCATTAATCTCCTTCACATATGGTGTGCTGTGTTCTTGACTTCTGGCCTTTTAAGTACTTGGATACTCAAAGTCTAACCAAGTAAATCACATCATTGTGGTATTATAACATACCTAGGTGCATTTTATTTATTTGGTACGTTATGTAATTGTTACCATTTTGATTGCATGCTCTCTTAAAGAAAATATTTCAGTATTTGGAGAAGAATGGTGTTCCTATTTTTTCCCATGCTTGGTGTCTAACTCAATTCTTTTGCCTAACAGTTATATATCATGTTCACTGTATTTACCTTCTAGTGATTTATTTTTTCTTTTCTTAAATCTTCCAGGCAAAATGTGAGGCTGCATATTTCATAGTTGTTCTCCATCATGCAAGGACGGTTGTAGTTGCTGTTCGTGGAACTGAGACACCTGAAGATCTCATAACAGATGGTTTATGCAGAGAATGCACCCTCTCTGCAGAAGATTTGGATGGATTGATGAGGCAAGCACAACCATCCCCTCTCCCCAATGCATGTGAATAACCTACATTTCTCATGTGACGGGTGTATACCATTGTAAAAAATTGAAAAGATTGGGCGTGATGAAGAACACTGTCCTTTATCACTCGTGAAGATTTTTGGGTCACAAGAGGGGGCAAGGTTACCCAAAACGACCATGTTACTACTCAAATGGCTCGCATTGCGACGGAGCAAATTGCTTACTTCAGAATTACATGAGAGAGCTCTAAGTATAGAGCATAGAGAGACACACACAAAACCTCAATTACTCTGATCAATAACCACTTGCCAACTAATTCCTAAATTACTAAGGTGCTGTTTATCTGATGAAAATTCTCTAAAATTCTGTTTTCCTTTTCTTGTGAACTAAACACATGGGAAATGCTTTTGAGATTCAAATTTGAAAACACGGGAACTCTTTTTTGAAATTTAGGCTTGCAGACTGATCGCTTTTTTCAGTGTCTTCAATTTGTCATTGCAATAGTTATTTTAGTGGACATCTTCAGTTGTGCACAGGTCTATTTCGTCAGTCACCATTCTCTTTCGCATTTGTTCACTCGGTCTTCACCTTTGTCTGGCTACTGTCTCTCTCTTAAAAAATGAAGCTTAAAATAGGCTTCTCTGAAGCCTAAATATTAATTAGAATTTAAGGTGACTGAAGCACAAACCTTCTGATCATGGTGTCCACACGTGCACGCAAATATAAGGGGAGTTATTAGCCCAAGGAGGATGATGTGATGCTTTTGCTCCCTTCATCATGAAGGTGAAGCTTTGTGATGCACCTAGGGGATCGGTGGACCCGTTATGCGACTAGACGAACTGACGGGCTCGAAGTCAACAATCTCGGATTGAGCTCAAATTTGTTGGGCTGAAGTGAAACGGCGTGCTGATCAATACTCACAGCCGTTGGCTATGACTAACGATGGATTTTCGCGATTCGGGGTCGTTTAGATGGTTTTTCTTTTTTTTAGTATTTTTTTATGGGTTAATTTAGTAAAAGGTAGTTTCGTAATTTTACATTTTGATGTTTATTAATCCTAGAAGGGCTAGGTTTGGGGTTATATAAGCTTGTTTTAGGGTTTCCTTTAAGCAGACTTTGGATATTTTGATTTGATAATCATACTTGGAGAACGAATTGTTCTTCTGTCAAATTTTCTTGTTCAGTCAATCTTTCTATCGCGTTTTGGCATCAATTGGTATCAGAGCACAGGTTGCTTGAATCAATGGCTAAACAGAATTGCGGTCGTGGACGGCGGGCTCGTGGTGGCCGAGGGCATGGAGGCGTTCCTGAAGCAGACGACCAACCGCGTCTAAGAGATCTGCGAGACGTAGAAATTGAAGAGCAGAGAAGACGAATCCAGGATTTGGAGCGACAACTTGCGGAGGCGAGGTTGGGCGTTCAATCCGAAGAAGAAGCAGAATCTGAGGATCCATCCGATGATGAAGAGGAGGACGTAAACCCTTTCGGGGTTCTGAACCAGGGGCGGAATCGAGGAGTACGACCTGGAAATCAGCGCTCTTCTCAAAATTTCGGAATGAAGATCGAGATTCCCGAGTTTAATGGTAAGGCTTATCCTGATGAGTTTATTGATTGGTTGCATACGGTAGAACGGATTTTTGATCTTAAAGACCTAACTGAGGGGCAAAAAGTGAAGTTAGTGGCTATTAGGCTGTGAAAACATGCTTCGATTTGGTGGGAACACGTGAAAAAGCAACGTGCTAGAGAGGGGAAGCCGAAGGTGGATTGCTGGGAGAAGATGAAAAAGTTATTGCAGAAATTTTTTTTGCCTACCCATTATAGGCAAGAGGCGTTTATCGAGTATCATAACGTCAAGCAAGGTGATAAAACAGTTGAGGAATTTACAGAAGAATTTGATCGCTTGCGGATGCGTTGTGATGTGGCGGAGGAAGACGAGCAGACGATTGCACGATATCTGGCAGGGCTGCGATATGAGATCTCTGATGTTGTCCAATTACAGCAGTATTAGACATATGAGGATGTGTGCAGACTAGCCCTGAAGGTGGATGGGCAGTTTAAAAGAAAGAGCAGTAAGTCCAAGTGGTCTAGCAACAGTTCCAAGTGGTCAGATAAAGAGTCCCGGGGGAAAGCAGGGAGTTCTTCAGCCCCGGCAGCAGTTAAGGGCGCTGGTTCAAAATCTGCAACAAAAGGAGAGCAGGATAGTGCTGGATCTAGCAGGGGAGGAGCTACAGGCAAGCGATGTTTTAAGTGTCAAGGACTCGGGCATTTTACTGCTGATTGCCCGAATCGACAGTTTGTGACACTTGTAGATAATCTAACTTTTGATGAAGACCCAACTTATGATGAATCTGATGGAGAGCAAGCAGATGCGGATCCAGATCCGGAGGATATTGTCTATGCCGATTCTGGTGAGTCTTTAGTGGTGCGTCGGGTTTTAAATATTGCTGAGGTAGATGATGAATCGTGGCTCAGGCATAATATCTTTCATATTAAGTGCACTAGAGGGGGAAAGGTGTGTAGTATGATAATTGACGGTGAAAGTTGCGAGAATGTAATATCTACCACTATGGTAGAAAAGTTGGGGTTGAAAACTGTCAAACATCCTCAACCATATAAGCTGTCATGGCTTAGGAAGGGGAATGAGGTAAAAGTGAGCAAGAGGTGTTTAGTGCAGTTCTCGATTGGGAAAAAATATACTGATGAAGTGTGGGGTGACGTAGTTCCAATGGATGCTTGTCATATTCTGTTAGGAAGACCTTGGCAGTTTGACAGGAAAACACAGCATGACGGATTCAAAAATACATACACCTTCAAGAAGGATGGCCGGACCATTACTCTGGGTCCTTCAGATTTGAGAAAAGAAGAGAAAAGTAATCTGCTTTCCAAATCAGAGTTCCAGGAGGAGGCGGTGAATGCCCCAGAGCTTTTTGCTGTTGTAGTCATGGAGCAGAATCTTGATAGTCCAGAAATTTCAACTCAAGTTCTGCCTATACTTGAGGAGTTTGCTAATGTCGTACCAGAGGAATTGCCACCTGGATTGCTACCCATGAGGGACATTCAGCATTGTATAGATCTCGTTCCAGGAGCTGCTATTCCTAATAAGGCAGCTTACAGAATGAATCCTAAGGAGCATGAGGAGATGCAGAGGCAAGTGCAAGAACTATTAGAAAAAGGTGCAATTCGAGAGAGCATGAGCCCTTGTGCAGTACCAGCTTTGTTGGTTCCTAAGAAAGACGGGTCGTGGAGAATGTGTGTGGATAGCAGAGCTGTTAACAAGATCACAATCAGGTATTGCTTTCCTATCCCGAGATTTGATGATTTAATTGATCAACTGCATGGAGCGACTATCTTTTCGAAGATAGACTTGAGGAGTGGATATCATCATATTAGGGTGGGTCCTGGAGATGAATGGAAGACCGCTTTTAAAACTCGAGATGGTCTGTATGAGTGGATGGTGATGCCTTTCGGGTTATCTAACGCACCGAGAACCTTTATGAGACTGATGAATCAGGTGTTTCGTCCTTTTATTGGCCAGTTTGTCGTCGTATATTTTGATGATATTTTGGTTTATAGTGCATCGACTGATCAACACTTGCACCATTTGAGAAGGGTGTTCGAGACATTGAGGGAGCAGAAATTATATGCTAATACCAAGAAGTGTCACTTCTTGACTGATCGTGTGACCTTTTTGGGATATATAGTAACTAAGGAGGGCATTCATATGGACCCAGCTAAGGTTGAGGCTATTACAAATTGGGAGATTCCGAAAAATATTCATGAGGTACGTAGCTTTCATGGGTTTGCGTCTTTTTATCGGAGATTTGTTCAGGATTTCAGTACTATTATTGCATCTCTGACGGATTGTCTGAAAGGAAGTAAATTTGTATGGACTAAGGAGGCAGAAGCTGCCTTTCAATTATTAAAGAAGAAGGTGACTGAAGCACCTGTTCTCGTGCTTCCTGACTTTAATGAGATTTTTGAGGTGCATTGTGATGCTTCAGGTGTTGGTATTGGGGGTGTCCTAAGTCAAAAATGTAAACCTGTAGCATTCTTTAGTGAGAAGTTGAACGAGGCGAAAAGAAAATATTCAACTTATGATAAAGAATTTTATGCTATTGTGAGGAGTTTGGAGCATTGGAGGCACTATCTTATTTCGAAAGAGTTTATCTTATTTTCTGATCATGAAGCCTTGAAATACATCAATGGGCAACACAAATTGAACGCAAGGCATGCAAAGTGGGTGGAGTTCCTTCAAGTTTTCAGTTTTTCCATCAAGCATAAAACAGGAGTGGTAAATAGTGTGGCAGATGCTTTGAGCAGAAAACACTCTTTGCTGTCTACAATGCAGGTAAAAGTTCTAGGCTTTGATACTTTCAAAGATTTATATGTTGATGATCCTCATTTTGGGGATATCTGGAGGAAGAGCAAAACGGAGCCTTTTCAGCAATTTCAGATCATGAAGGGTTACCTATTTAAAGGTAACAGATTGTGCATTCCTCAATGTTCTTTGAAGGAATCTATTATTATTGAGGGACATGCAGGCGGTTTAGCTGGACACTTTGGCGTGGATAAGACGAAGGCCTTGTTGAGTGAACATTTTTATTGGCCTCGGATGGAGCGTGACGTGACACGTTTTATAGAGAGGTGCAGAATATGTCATGTGGCAAAGACCAAGAGTACTAATGCAGGATTGTATATGCCCCTACCTGTTCCAGTTGCACCGTGGGAGGATGTCAGTCTTGACTTTGTCTTGGGTTTGCCAAGAACGCAGCGGAGTAAGGATTCAATAATGATGGTTGTCGATAGGTTCTCGAAGATGGCCCACTTTGTCCCGTGTAGCAAGTCCTATGATGCTTCACAGGTTGCTCGATTGTTTCTGCAGGAGACTGTTAAGCTGCATGGAATTCCTAAGTCCATAACCTCATATCGTGATGTGAAATTTGTGAGTCACTTCTGGCGCACTCTTTGGAGGTACATGGGTACAAGTTTGAAGTTTAGTTCATCTCATCATCCTCAGACTAATGGTCAAACAGAAGTTGTCAATCGAAGCTTAGGGAATTTGCTGCGGAGTTTGATTGGAGATAATCCGCGACAGTGGGACTTGGCATTGCCTCAAGGGGAATTTGCATATAACAGATCAGAGAACCGAACTACAGGCAAGACTCCTTTTGAGGTGGTTTATGGGCGTAATCCAATTACTCCATTGGATCTCACACCGATACCAATTCTCAAGCAATTTAGTTCAGAAACTGAAGAACATGCAAAGCATATCAAAGAGCTGCATTCCCAGGTCCATAATCAGATCAACAGGCAGAACATGAAGTATAAGCAGCGCGTGGATATACGCAAGAAAAGAGTCGTCTTCAAGGAAGGTGATCTAGTTTGGATTCACCTTAGGAAAGAACGATTTCCAGCGGGTAGGTTTGGCAAGCTTCAACCTAGAGCTGATGGACCCTTCAAAGTTTTGGAGCGAATTAGTGACAATGCTTACAAGATCGAATTGCCGGGTAAGTATAATATATCCGGAACTTTTAACGTAGCAGATTTGTCACCTTACTACGCTGAAGAGGAAGAAGATCCTGAGGAGATTGACGATGACAATGAAGGCGAAGCAGATTCGAGGACGAATCTTTCTCTAGCAGGGGAGGATGATGCACCTAGGGGATCGGTGGACCCGTTATGCGACTAGACGAACTGACGGGCTCGAAGTCAATGATCTCGGATTGAGCTCAAATTTGGTGGGCTGAAGCGAAACGGCGTGCTGATCAATACTCACAGCTGTTGGCTGTGAGTAATGATGGATTTTCGCGATTCGGGGTCGTTTAAATGGGTTTTTCTTTTTTTTAGTATTTTTTTATGGGTTAATTTAGTAAAGGGTAGTTTCGTAATTTTACATTTTGATGTTTACTAATCCTAGTAGGGCTAGGTTTGGGGTTATATAAGCTTGTTTTAGGGTTTCCTTTAAGCAGACTTTGGATATTTTGATTTGATAATCATACTTGGAGAACGAATTGTTCTTCTGTCGAATTTTCTTGTTCAGTCAATCTTTCTATCGCGTTTTGGCATCACTTTGGTTTTAGCTCCCTGGAATATTGAAGAAAGTTTCCTCGCTAAATCTTTTTGTTTGTCTTTTGGTTTTTACTGTATAAAATTAACTTTAATACGTCCCTTTTTTTATCTATCTAAATCTTTAGTGTGGGAATAATAAATTGGAACTTCTCAGGATTAATAATTTGAGGGTATTGCTTTTAAAAGTTTATTTTGTCGGTGAAAATAATTTGTTTAATGAGTGTATGAAGAGTATATTAGTGTAAGGAGAATGAAGAGTATATTAGTGCATTATATCGATATCGGGATAACTCAAAAATTTACCAAACACTGTTTTAATAATGTTAATTTTTAGAATATAATTCTTTTCCTATATCATATGCATTTAGATAACCCAAAACTAGAAATGAAAAGTGTTTTCATTCTCATTTTCTGTGAAGACGAAAATGGAAAATGTTTTCATGAACCAAATATGCCCTAAATATACTTCAAGTGTTGAATAATATCTAATACTATTGGATATATTTAGTAGTATAACAATACGTCAAAACTATTAAGTACTATTACTGAATATATTTCGTAGCATTGGATGTATTTCGTGGTCTACCCAATCCTACTAATGCTACTACTTCCATTTGGTTTTTAGTAGTATGTATATCCAACTCTTGCTAAATACTCGTCAAAACATGAAATATATTTTGTAATTCAGCAATTAGTTGGGAGTGGGTTTGAATGAGGTAGTTAGGGGTTTGGGAGTCTCTCCACGATCTATACTTAAAGCTCTCTTATGTAATTTCGAAGTAAGCCATTTATTTCATGTGGTAACCTTCTAAGCCTTGTGGAATGCCTCATCTGATGAAAATCAATGCATCTGAACAAAAATTCCAAACCTCATCACATCTCCACATGACCTGGCACTTGGCTATTTGTCGCCATGTCTTTGAGTTGCCTTTATCTACTCTACTGAGTTGGATATCACATCATTTTAGTGGGCAACGTGAGAAGGATACACTATTTTCCTTCGAGAATTTGGAGAGAATGAGCTTGAATTGGTGATAGTTTGCAAGCATACTCCTGGTTGTCCTTGGCCCTATAATAATATATCTACATCTATCAGGGTCCGAAATCTCTGCTTGTATTGGAAAATGTTAATTGCTCTAACCTATCTTGCTTTCTTTCTCTCATTCCTGTGAAACAATCTGACATGAACTGCAAACTGCAGTGACCCTTGCTCTGACATAAGGCAAAATATCGAAACCTCTTTCCCCCGTTATGGGCACTCTGGAATTGTTGTGGCTGCACGAGAACTTTTTCTGCAAATTGAAGGAAATCTTAGAAACAATGGTTAGTTTACTTTATTTTTCCGCTGATATTGTTGTCTACAATTGTCAATATAGTGGTTGTGGGCCATCATAGCCTGTGCTTTTTATGGAGTAATTTTGTTTGAGGTGTGGCTGAAGATCTTTGAGGACAGGATGGTTAGCTGTGTTACTGCTATCAAGATCTCTTCGTGGGTACAATGTCCAGACATACCTTTTTTTTTGGGGGGGTTGCCAGAGAGAGAGAGAGAGAGAGTTGTGGCTGTAAAACATCCTTTTTGCTTCTTTAGTTGTTCAGCGGATGCAAAATTCTCTATATTTGTTTCATAATTGTACTGTATCATTCAAAGTAACTCTATCCATTGTTTGACAATGTTTAACGAGTGAATAGTGTTTACCGCAAATTATTTTCTAAACTGTTGTATTTCATAAGCTGTGTCCTTACATGGACTCAATGAGGAGTTGCTTAAAAATGAGAACAAATGCTCTGAAAGTAAGCTTAGTCCTTTTCCATTTTAATTACATGTTAAGATTTTACTCTACTTGCTCATCTGCAATCCCTACTGTGAGAAAGCTATAAGACTCTTTTGCCTATAATTCTGTGACGGATTTCTAAAGTTTCCTACGAAGGCTTAGGTTGAGTTTGTCAGTCAACTGAGTACAGGAATATATTTTCAATGTCTACTGAGTACTCATCAAGTATAATAGTATTGAAGTTTTATGGACTTCATGGAAAATAAGATGTTGGCCATAGATTAGCCAAGGGGTTTTCCTGCATTTCATTTCTCATAAAGAAGTGTGACAGAATTTCACGCTTGTATGTACTGAATGATAATTGCATCTTTCTATCCAAAAGAGCTGGTTCTTTCACTCCAAGAGCTGCTTTTTCCATTGAAGAATTATATGAAATGAATTTAATTTGTCCTTTCTTTCATGTGCTACTTGTGAAGCAGGAGATGAGGAGCCCACATTCAGGAGCCATCTGTCCTCATTGATGGGTCCGGGATGTGAGTGTGATGGTTATAATTTGCGGATAGTGGGGCACTCACTTGGAGGTGCCATTGCTGCTATGCTAGGCCTTCGAGTATGACCATTCCACTTATAGTTATTTGTTTGGCTCTCACACTGCTTTACTCATTATGGTTCTAATCATACTGAAGAGACTGCATGTGAAAGTAGATGGCTTATATGTATTACGATAGAGAATAGAATTTGGAAAGATTAGCCATGTGTACATACATTATATTTAAATTTGCAAACTAGGAAGCACAAGATTATAAAATATTACATAATCTGTATATACCATATTCATGAATTACCTTCGAGCTATGTCTTATTCCTCATACTCCCCCTAGAGTTAGGGCACAGATTTCACGTATACAACCCAAATATCAATTCCTCATACTCCCCCTATGTCTTATTTCATGAATTACCTTCAAGCTATGTCTTAATTTTCATTTATTCTCAATTTTATTTTGATTAGTTAGATAAATTTTAGAAATAGTATTTTTTTTATATTTAATTGGTTTATTAATCATCAATCTCTATGAGACGATACTCTTCTCATCATTATATTACTTGTTCGAGTTCATTTACATTTAGAATTTTACGAACAAGTTTTTGGCACCATTGCGGGGGATTTTATGTTTAATACTAATTAATATTGATACCGAATAATTCTAAATGTAATCTAGCTTTCATTATATTTTCATCAGAGTGTACATCGGTGTATGACATGTAGCCAACAAAGGAAACTTACCGAGTTTGATCTGAAAATCGAACGGACATTTATAAGGCGACTAAGAGAACAGATAAATCACGCTAAAAAAGATGGAGGGAGTTAATGAGGCTGGAAATCCACGTAGACTCTTGAGAGATTATGCTACACCGACAGTTTAGGGCACCACATCAAGCATGAGTAGGCCTGCAATTCAAGTAAACAACTTTGAGATTAAGCCATCACTCATTCAGATGCTTCAACAATCAGTGTAATTTAGTGGGCTACCAAGCAATGATCCAAACGCTCACATTAATACTTTTCTTGAAATCTGTGACGTAATTAAATATAATGGAGTTGTAAATGATGCTATTAGATTAAGATTATTTCCATTTTCCCCTAAAGACAAAGCTAAGAGTTGGCTCTCTTCTCTTCTTGCTGGATCAAATACTACATGGAATGATATGGCCCAAAACTTTCTTGGTAAGCTCTTTCCATCTGCAAAGTCTACAAAAATGCGTAACGATATTACTAATTATATGCAGATGGATAATGAATCATTGTATGAAGCATGTGAAAGATTCAAGGAGTTTTTTAGGAGATGTCCACGTCATGAACTACCCTTATGGATGCAGGTACAAACTTTTTAAAATGGGTTTAATATAAATCTTCGTTCTATGATTGATGCAATTACAGGGGGAATTCTGAATAATAAAACACTAGAAGAAGCCTGCAACCCATTAGAGGAAATGGCATCCAATAGTTATCAATGGCCTATTGAGAGGATACCGGTGCGAAAAGCTAGTGGAGTTCATGAAGTGGATGCTTTCACTGCAATTGCTGCACAATTTGAAGCACTCGACAAAAAAATAGATAACATGAGTATTTCAGTCATGAAAATTCAGAAGGTAACATGCGATTTTTGTGGTAGAGGACACGTTAGTAATAGAGTGTCAACAATTTTACACAACCTATTGAAAATGCTAACTTTGTTGGAAATTTTAACCGACCACGAAATAATTCCTACTCCAACACATACTGTGACGTCTCAGAGCGTCACATACTAAGGCTTTCACTACTCTTTTCACTTATAGCACAAGCGGAAGGTAATTTTTAAGTTAGAACTTAAAGCATGAAGGAGACCCAAACAAGATAACAAGTCTAATTACAACTTGGTGGAGTGGGGGTTTCTCATTGCCATTTCCATTACTATGTACATATCATTGGGCATTACAACAAAAGACCACATTTGGGAAGCCAAAAAGTTATATTCCCCATCATCATACATGTGGTTCTATACACACACCGCCATTAACATCTTGCCCACCGTCGTCATCCATACCAAAAAGTGACATTTACGACATCAAGAAATGGCATCCCCCACTAACACCTCACTACCACCATTTCACTATGGCTCGTCCTCCTCGGGATCACTTTCCTCACTTGGGTCACTCTCTTCGTTTCCACTTCTATTCCCTCCGTCGTTCATGAAACGGAGAGGTCCTAAAAGCTCGCCACCAACCTTCACGCACCATGCTACAAAATGATAGGGCACTAACGGTGCCCAACCGACATCCATCCACACGACGGACACATGACAAGTGAACAGCAAGTTCAAAGTCAAAATGGTTATATCCTCCGTATAGCTATCAAAGTATAGAGGAAATCCATAACGAGATAAAGGCGGAGCGTCCATTCTGACTATCTGAAAAAAATTAAAGCAACGGGAGTGAGCTTAAGCTCAACAAGAGATGAAAACAAGTTTCATAAATCTATCAATCCATTATGCTCTTGATTCTTAGGACACATCTACATGAATTGCATTCCAAATCAACAAATAAGAATAGCACTTCTTTGGAAAATCATATTTATCAAGCGATCATGAAAGACATATGCCACACACAACGTATTGCATTTCATACACCACCTGTATCACATACATCATATAGCATTTCTTGTACCGTATATGTTTTGCATATCATATCATGTTTCATGTACATGTCAATTGGATCCACCCCCATCTCACGATACAACCGGTGGCAAGCTGGCCCATGCGGGTCACTTTCGGCACACAAACCAGACTTCCATGGTACAATGACCATAGGTATCCCACTCTCCGGGGCATCTTGATTTCTGGAAAAACCAAGGCATTCTCCTCCCGGCCAACAATAATAACAACAACCCTTCACCGAGGCATTCAGGCACACAAACCGGCTTCCATGACACAATGACCATAGGCATCCCACTCTCCGAGGCATCTTGATTTCTAGAAAAACCAAGGCATTCTCCGCTCGGCCAACAATAACAACAACAACCCTTCACCAGGGCATTCGCGGTTCGTCAACCGTAGGCATCAAATAAACATTTCCCAAGCATAACTAGTACATGAAAACATGCAAACATGATACTCTTGAGTGCATAACAACAAGTCACAGCCATAACATCACATTCTCTTATACACGATAGCTGTTTTACCACATTTCACATTCTGCCACTACATGTATAACTTCATTTCCCCCATAACTTGACCTCCAATCAAGGTCTAACATATCTCATTTGAAATCTCAAAATGTGGACATGCAATCACCAGAAGACATCAAGTTCAAATTCTCAAGTTTTCACGTAAGAAAATGTGCACCTTTGAAATTAGGTAAATCTGGACAGTTTTACACAGTAAGGGGAATCCCTTCAAAATAAATAGTAATGGACTTCGAAAATTTTAATTTTTGGATATGTTATAAAAGACATCTGGATGAACATTTTTCATGAAGAAATAAAAATAAAAATATTTTTTTAAGTATCTCATTTATGAGCTCAAAGTCAGACTAAAAACTGCTCGCTGGAACAGAACTTTCATTCCCCAAGATCAGCCCTTTACCATATCCAAAACATATCCAAAAATTCTCAAATTTTTATATATTGTAGAGGAAGAAGTCCTCAAGAACTTTTGTAAAGGAAGTTTCTCAAAATCAGCTCAGAAAAATTTGTATAAAATATAGAAAGTGTAAACCTCACCGAAATACCCATTATGGGCAGTTTTACACAGTCTGAAAATTTGGCTTTCATACAATCCAAATCAAGTCCAAAAATTCTGAAATTAAATTATATGAAACTTCAAGACGTTTGGAACAATTTTTAAGAGGAAGTGTTTGGAAATTCGGACCATAAAAGCCTCAAAAAAAAAATAACAAAACGAAGTGGTACAGAGGACCCGAATCTGGGATTTCCAGAACTAAAGCAAGAATTGAGTCCGAATAGGGAAAACCATCAAACTTAACCTAGCAAGACTCATACCCAGAAACATGCAACACCCATTTCCACCTCCAAACAACAATCTTTACCCATTTAAGTCACATGCACTACAAGTTCTTACCTTAAAACACACATGCAAAACCATTTAAGGCTTGAACTCCAACATGCGAGCTAAGTAGAGGCTTGTACACTCACATGCACACACAATCCTTACCTGGGCAGCAACATGCACGCCCATTTGACACCACAAAACCAACATGCAAGACTATACAAACAACCCACAACCACAAACAAGCAAAACCAAGGGCAATGAGAGATTAATAGGCTTAAGAACAAGCATTATCTCCTTGCCTTGAGTTGTCTAAGACCGGTAACGCCTTCCCTTGGGTGTTGATTACGCCCAAGACACAAAGAACAAGCTGGAATGAAGATGGTTTGGCGGTGTGGGTGGCTGAAGTGCGGCGGTGAGAGGGAAACGGCGAGAGAGAGAGATGGGTGAGAGAGAGAATGAGCTTGTGGGTGTGTGTTTGAGAGAAATCAGAGAAAATGAGAGTGTGAGGAGGGTTTTGGGCTGCTGAAGGAGAAGAAGGGCTTTAGTGTGCCCAACAAGCTTAATCAATAACCCCAAAGTCGAGTATCTGGCAAGCTTCTTCCCCTTGCATGAAATCTTATTGGGCAAGGGGTGATAAGCAATCATTACTAGGTTTAAATCAAAAAAATAATTCTAAATGTGGGGGCATATGTGGCCGGCCATGCAGGGGTATTGTGGGCACAATTTTTGTGTCCCAAGTGTCCAATTTAAGTACACCTACTGTCCATTTAGGGCCTCACTTAATGTCCAATAATTATGTACCCCATTTGATCCCTAACCTTATACTTGTGGCCACATATTAAGCTCTTTAAATAGTCCAATGCATCCCAATGATTTTCTCAGCTCATAAATGTACCAAGTTCCTAATTATCGATGTCTCGGCAGTACCTCAATAATTAGCTAACAAATCTTGGTCATTTCTAATAGCAATTCTCATAATGCTATTATGAAATTTGGGATGTCACACATACAATATGGGATGGCACAATCATCAAAAAGTGATGAAGTCGCCACCGGGATTCAAACAACTAGAAGAGACAAAGTCCAATCTGGAAGTTATAGTCACGAAACTAGCTAACACTACTCAAGACTTCATCAAGAGCATATATGTGAGATTTCAGAACCAAGGGGCTTCAATCGGAAATGTGGAGATGCAAGTGGGTTAGTTTGCAAACA